GTAGGGAAACTATATTATAAAAATATATTTTGTTTACCAGAGTAACCAACAGTTTCAACACTGCCGATTTTATACTAATAATGATATTGTCACTACAGAGAGGTATCTGTTTACTTCCTTTGTTTATAGAAATAAAGATTTTTAGTTAAGCTTTAAATTAATTTCCAGGGCAGCTGCGAGACTCGCTACCTGATGCTGTACCAACACTGGAAAAGCATGAAATATCTCTATTATTTTTAAGTTTATTTATTAAATAAGGAAATTTTCCATGGACCTAAAGGAAAGCTCGCTCCCAATATCCCTACATACTTAGTTGACCAACAGATCATTTAAAGGGTATGCATTTTGAGCTCTGAAAGTTAACTCCTCAGTCTCAGTCTTGTGAAATATTTCACCAGAACCAGTGGGACTGTCTGCATGTTAATATTTTGATAAGTTGGAATCTTGCTGGATGGAATCAGTTCTTGCAGCACATGGTTTCTAAGGCAGTTCGTTATAATCCTGCATTAGGATTGGCAATAGAATGTGAGATCAGATGTTTCATTTAAAAGTTCCACTTATGATGAAGCAACTTTTATTTTTCCTCTTTGGAAAATCTCTGAGTGTCTTTGCTAACAGTACATCTGCATCCCACATATCAGGGTGTCACCAGAGTACTGGAATTTGTGCACAGACTTTCTGCGTGGTATGATAGCACTGGCAGTGACCAGAGCTCATGTGTTTTGTGTTCAGGATATCTTATTTTTTATACTCTGAGCTGACTACGAATTCATTGCATGGTTCAGGAATCCAGGAAAAATTGCAAGAATCATAAATTGTCTCAAGTGCCAGACCTTTATAACCTTAGAGTGTAATCTTGTAAGAAATGTCTTGAACAATTAAAGAAACTGATACTAAATATTGCAGTCGAGCAATAGAGATTCCATTTTAAATATTTTCAAGTCTTTAACGTCTTTCAAAATTATTTCAATTTTGAAAGAGCTTTTGGTATCTACTTTTTCCAGTAATTTTTCATATATTTTCCTGGTGGAAATGAGGCTTAGGCAGTCGCTTTCATCTCTATCTGTTTGTCTGCTCTTTGTCTCACAACAACATCTGAACTGGTTTGCTGATTCCACAGGACTTCACAGTTATTTCTGAAAGACTGCCTAAAGCTTTGTGAAATTTGGAGCCAGATGATGGGAAAAGAGATGCTAAGACAAAGGCTGCAGCATGAGCCTATGTATCATTAGACAAAAAAGCCCCAAAAACAACAGGGGGGGAGATGCCACTGGAAAAGTTCTGTTTACAGTTTTTGATCAACTCTCACTCCACAAGAAATGAGACTTCATTAATATCAGTGCTCACAGAAGCGTTGCTTTTCAAAGCAAACTGAGTCTACATTTAAGTTGATGTTTTCCCCTAGAGTCCATCTTTAGTATAAAACTTCTTTGAACTTTGGTCTGTAGTCCAGAGGAAATTTTCATATAAGCTGCATGTATACTGAATTTTTAAATAGACAAGCATAGGGGAAATACATCATTTAAAGTAAACTCTTTCTTCAGCTTGTCTGTTATGTGTTGACACTAAGATATTTCATGTTACATTGCTTATGTCACAGGAAAACGTAATGTTTTTGGGGAAAGAAAAATCTATACATACGGAGTGACCTATTCTATAGTTTAACTGTCTTTCAAGTCCTACTAGGTTTTTAAAAGATAATACAGGTAGAACTTGACAGTTACGGATGATAAGGGTCTTTTACAAACCTCTCTGGAGAAGGTTACATATAAACCTATTAGGGTAGTTCATAAGTACATTGCAAAACATAGGGGGCCACATAATAAACACAGATAAAGTATAGATATAACCTCAAACAATTTTTGGTGTCAAAAGATACACACAAAATATTTTTATGTATGAAAATACTTGTTAGACAAAATAACTTGAAGCAGTGGAATAATTGGCACGTATTCAAATTGCAGTTAATTGAATTCTTCATCTGTGGCTAAAAGAGCCACATGGGGTACAGATTCTGCATAGAGGAAGCAATTTTCATTAACAGGATATAATTTAGAATGAGAAAACATATACACTCTGCCTGAAACACAGTTAATAATTAATATGGAATAAATATATAGACATATACCGAGTTACCATATTTCTACCTGTCACTTTTTAGAGTTTCAGCAACTCATTTGTGTCCTAAGTAAGTATATTTATTCAGAGAGATGACATTGTAACACTGCCTTCAAAAGTGGAAGACCTTTATGTCACAGCATTGAAAATGAGTCATCCTTATTACCAAAATGGCAAAGTGAGATCAGGATGGTGATTTGATCTCATGTCTACTTACATCTAAGATGTTTGCTTGTATGTGAACTGACACTGTACTGTTTAAAAGCTAATAACAAGTTCTCAAATTGAGCATTATTTCTGAGGCTGATCAGGTTTTTTTTTTCTTTTTATAAATTTTTATCTTCTTCTTTGTACTAATTTGATCGTGGAACAAATCTGCCTTATATATCTCTATATGACAGACTTTTATGCATGAGTATAGGACTGTGAGAAAAAGTTTTACTCGTTGTCTGAATTTCAGTTAGCAGCCACATGTAAGATAAGGACCCCTGAGAAATCACAAAGGTGGACACAGACTGTTTAAGTACAAGAATGGGTTTTAATTTTATTGGGTTTGCCATATTTCTGCCATACTAATTTCGTAAGTCACGGTGCTAATTAATATAGCTGAATTGTAGAACTATACTTCATATTTCATTCTCTTTAATAACAGGTTGTAACAATACTGGCAAACATGTCAGTCTTGGACCAGTGTGCTTCAGAAATCATCCAAGGAAATGGTATGTATTTTAGCTGAATTACATTCTGCATTTATTTGTGGAGAGTGTGGGTAGCTGGGAAAGGAGTGGTTAAAAGGTAAAGGAAAAATGCTTCACTCATATTACTTATTTTTGCATCCTGTCTCTGCTGGATATTGCACATTGCCGGAGGGTGCAAAATAAGTCCTTGGGATGGTTCTATGTAACTGAAATAAATTACCACTTCTTTAGAAAACTTTGCATGTATGACCGCTTCGCTGGTGTTCTCTCTGTGTGTGACTTATTCACAGTTACAAATCAAGGTAGTACAAAGTGTTTCAACAGTTGATTACATTGTATACGGTGGCAATTCTTACACATTGAAAGACATCATCTGACACTGGGCCATGCATACTTGCATTCTGTGTACTTTTTCCACAGATATTCAGGAATATTAACAATTTTGAAGCACTATGTTTTTATCACTATAGTGCAGTTGCCTTTTTTCCTCATATTTCTTTAAACATCACAAATTCATTATGTTGGAAAAAACCTAGGCATTATAGGCCCAACAGAAGGCTAAGAAGTTAGGTTAATAATTATGTGGATAAGGATACAGGAAGGTGTAACAGCTTTATTAATACACCTACCAGCAAATTCATGGCCAATGAGCAATAGAGCAAGGGGGGTTTTTGTTTTGTTTTGTTTTGGGTTTTTTTGTTTGTTTTTGTGGGAGATATTAAATTACAATGAAGCTGCACATATACTGATATCTCAGATATGGCTGATGGTAGGTGGGAGAAGGGGTTTCAGAAAGCAGCTACATAGAAGCGGGTCTTGAAATCGAATTGGTCAATTCCTGTGTAATATTTGATATAGCTGATTTTTGTATTTGAGTCAAAAATTTGAGCTCTGTGCACACAGATATGACTGGCAAGGATCAGGCACAACTAATTTGGTTGATGCTACCCATGTATGCATAGATATAGTGTGCATTTGATGTTCCTGCTAAGGTGTATGTGTGTTGCAGTTTGAGACAATGTGGAGGTTGAATGGGTCTGGATAGTGAAGCAATTTAATCCCAGATGTATGCAATTTTACAAATTACCTGACGTCCCAGTCTGATGCAGAAGATAGTGCAGTGAGGGGGAGGAACAAAGCAGGTTAGCGTGGTAGCTTCTTACATGACCTTCTCTTTGCATGCGCGATGGGGCAGAGAGAAGTTGGTCAGATCCATGTGGTGGTTTCTGCTATGTCCCTGGTCCAAGCTCCCTGTGTTCCTGGAGGCTGGAGAGGTCGTCCTGACTTCTTGGTGCAGGCACATGGGGCTTTGGGTAGAATCCCAATCTTTTCTAGCAACTCTTCGTAAGACCCTGACATTTCCCAGGACCCTGGGTGTTTGTAATTATAGGACTGGGTAGAGATCACCCTGTTGGTGATTTGTCTGTCTGACCTGTGCTGCTGTTTTCTGATTTGCAGTTGTTAGCACTCATAATCTAGATAAGTCCTGGAAGATTATTCACTCCTTTCTGATTATCAGGTTTGTTATGTAGTTTAGCTATCTATTTCCTTGAGCACACCAAAACCTGTTTTGTTGTCTGGGACAGGTCTTTGATAATATTTCATCTACTTCCACTACAGCAGAAACTTGACTCAAATTCATGAAATTATACAAACAGCTATGTCAAACTCATGTTAGATACTACCTTAGGTGGAGAAGTACCTGTAGACTGTTAAGATCATGTGCTGAAGTAAAGTCTGTGTATATGCTCCTTAATGGAAGATCACACAGAAGCATTTGCCCCCATGATGTTGAGAAGGGTTAACAGACATCCTGTGTGTAAAGGTTTTTTGCGTCAGACTAACGTAATGATTAGTTGCTGATTCACAAACTGAGAAGGGTCTTTGAGTCCTGGGGAGTTTACATGCATTTTCTTCTTCACTTCAACTTTTTTGTATGTCAATTGATTATTATTATGATTATTGCATGATTCTGATGCTAATTCTCTTAATTATTTATGTAAATGTTCTAACAGTTAAAATCCTCTGATGTTACCTGAAGTAATCTGAATGCTTAATAGCATATGGAGTCTAATAGCACATAATTGTAGTTACATTTAAAAGAATTAGAAAAGAGAAATCAGTACAGACTCATCTGGTTTTGTGCTGCTAGAATAAGAATATCAACTCCTACAAACAACAATAAGTTAATGAAACAATTTTGACACAGATGACATTGTCTCTTCTGAAATTAAGAGTTAGTTGCACAGTAAACAAGAGGCACATTGTCATCATTGTCCTCATTAAATGATTCTCCATCCCTTAAACAGTTTGAGATGGGAACTTTCAAAGGCTTGCTTGAAAATACATAAAGTGAATAAAAGTTTTAATTTCCTTTAATTGGAAGCAAAACTTCATGGAGAGACCTGAAATACGTCACTACAGGTTTTTAATTTAGTGATTACCTTTAGGTTAGTTTAGAAGCAGATGAAGAATTGCATTTAGTTTGACTGAAACACATTTGTGAAATTTAAAATACCAACATGTAGAGGAGTCATGAAGTTGGGGGAGCAAAGAGTTAGTGCATTTTCTAGTTCCAGACCTTCTGTAGCCTCCTAGTACAGACAAATGTGCACAGGTCAGATATGCCTGAATGCTGATGGCCAAACTGCAGTCCACATTTATGCATTCTTCATGCCCTATTTGGGCAGTGATTGGTCTGTATTTACCTAGCTTGCTTTTTTGCTATGCTCTTTTGGACTGATTTTTTTTGTTGGAAAGAGGATGACAATGGCTCTTACATCCTTCTAGGTGTTCAACTTTTAATGGAAATGCTCTTTGAAAGATCATCTTCAGGAAATTCAGCAGAAGTTGCTGCTTGTGAGCGAGTCCAACAGAAATCTGCAGTTACACTGGCACGACTCAGCCGTGATCCTGAAGTGGCAGATGCAGCCATAAAACTCAGCTGTAAGAATATATCATCAGCTTAATGGCAGACTGAAAAAGAGGGAGGAACTTCCAGCCATGGAGAAGCTCTTTTTCATTTTTAGGCCCACTTGGTATACTTTATGGCATAGGCTCCCTATACAGTCTGTCCAGAGAGTGACTGAGGAGGTTGTGCTAAATGAATTTCTGGCTCATTTCCCAGGGTAACCTGAGGTTCAGTATCCACTCGACCCATAGCTGTGCCAACTGACAGTGCTGTATCTCCCATTCGTTCACTTAAACCCTTGTGCAGGATCTGTCAGTGGACGGAAAACTTGGACCCCTGCAGGTTGAGACATGATGAATCGAATGGGAAGCAACATGTTCTTTGGCTGGAGTTTTATGAGGGCATGTGGGAGGGTTGATAAGGAAGAAATGGAGGTCAGAATTTCCACTCTGAAAGAATAATAGCAGATAAAAAGAATGTATTTGTTTATGCTTGACAACTATTAATTACGACTGCTCTGAACTACGTAGCTCCAAGGAACAGTCCCTTAATTATTTGCATATCATCTTTGCATTAGAGACCATATCTACTAAGGAAGATAAATATGAAAAATCTAAAAAAAGGCCTCATCTCCAAATAATGAGTTTGTTTTTCTAAATTGTTTCTCCCAATACTGTTTTGTGCACTCAGGTATTCCTCGACTAATTAAACTTTGCAGATCACCAACTGAAAGAAATAACAGTGATTCTGTTTTAGTGGCATGTCTGGTAGGTACATTTTAATCTTTATTTCATGTTAACGTTGAAATATGAAGAAAATCCAGCCCTTTAGATTTCAAAATGCATAAGTATTTCAGGAATGTTTTAAATTCATGCCAGGGTCCCCTGCTTTTCCCCTTAAGCATACTCCAGCACAGTGTCAATTATTTATCTTCTGATTGAAGATTTAGGCACTCAAGGAAAAATGGCTTCATCTTTAAAAAGACGAAAAAAATTCACTGGAACACTTCAGAATTAAAGAATACCAGGTTGGAAGGGACCAAAAGGATCATCTAGTCAAGGTTTTAGTAGTTCTTAAATTCCATTCTGTGATGATACTGTTTGCTGAAATAAGTCTCAAATCACAGGAGTAGCAGCCCTTTATCTACACACACACGTGTGTATGAAAATATAAAGTGGCCAAAGAGAGGAAAGGAGATTTCTTGCTTTAAATACAATCCATCTTTCTCTATTTGAGACTCCAAGACAACACAGAGTCCAGCCAAGGAGTGGTCAACAGAAGGTTAACACTTTCTCTGTTGGCCCTGAGCTCCATGAACTATGAGCTCCATGAACTATGAGCTCCAGCCAACTGTTGGAGTTGAGTAATTTCACCTAGTGTTCTGTGAGATGACAGTGCTCTGGGGACATGGGTGATCTAGGTTTAGGAGATAGGTTTTGTTGAATGAAGACTGAAGAATATTGTTTGGGAGTGCTTTTTTAGCATTAATGTTGTTTTAAACTTTAAAGTAATACTTGGTTATTGCAGCTTTGATTAAGCGCTAGCTTTGTACCAGCACATAAGCAGTTTTGTTCACTTGTTCATTTAAGCAGGCCTCATTCAGGATGAAAAGGGTATGAATGTGAGCATAAGAAATGCTGTGGTTATTCTTCATACATGTCGGGAAAGCTTGTTGGTCTTGTACGGCTAGAGCAGAGGCCACAGAGTGATGGCAGCAAACCAGTCTGTGAATTTCTGGTGCCATCTCATTAAAGTTTTGTTGCACATTTCTTGAATTTGTGTATATTCCTTGAGATAACTGCCTGTCTGCCTCAGCAATTCTGCTTCTCCTGATATTTTAGCAACTTTCTGATGACACTTTCTGAAAAACATGTGGCAAAAATACTCTTTGAGATATAAGCTGCTTCAGACTTGGATAGGTATCATCACTGAGGGCTTGCACTCTTTGGTATTTTTAGCTTGGTTGTTTACTTTTTATATATTTTCAAGCTGGTGATTAGCTCTTGTGTTAGCACTGCCTTGACAGACAGCACAGACATAAGTTGATCACAATTATCAGACCTTACTAGTAGAAGACAGTTTTTGGTCTTGAGGAAAGCCAGCCTGCTTCACCATTGCATCCATCATGTCAGGTTGCTAGAAGCTATGTAGCTGTTGCATATTTTTCTCCAGGGAGAAAAACAAGTCATTTCTTAGGAGAGTTTATGAAGATAATACTATTATCAGTGCCATCTGTATTGTACAGCCTTATAATTAGAACAACTGGCGGTTTTATTTGTTACCAAATGGTTTGAAATGTACAGCTTTTTTCTATTACACTGGTATATAAAAGATGTCTGTTTTGGGCATTGCAAAAAAATTATCTAGGAGACATTTTCTGAATCAGATACTATATAGTTCTCATAAATAAGACAAAAGCTGAGAGAAGAGTTGAATAGAAAAAGTCAATGTTAGAGCTGCAGCGGATCAGAGATAGGTTTACAATCAAAGTGCTCACACTTTCAACTCTGTGGTCTTTAACACCACTGTCTCTGCTTTTCAGGTCTAAGTGTAATGTGCCCCAAACAATTTTTCATTTAATAGCTGATTTGAGAGGAAATTGATCTGACAGGTGAAGACAGCAAGGAGAGATTAGCCAGGCAGAAGAGTCCAGAGACCTGCTCGCTTCAGCTTTGAGTCTTGGCTGTTATTTAGAGATACTTACAATGGATTTCTGCAATGAAGGCTTTGTCAGTATTACAACTGCGTTGTTTTGTTTTTCTAGGCAGCCTTACGGAGACTGGCAGTGATGAGTCCTGATGGACTTGAAGATTCAGATTTTCAGCAGCTAGTAAAGCCCAGACTTGTGGATTCTTTTCTGCTATGCACAAATATGGAAGAAAGCTTTGTATAAATGTGAGCCAAAAACCTTTGAAAAATAATGAAGATGATAGGCATACATAAGATATGCATATACAATTTTACTTAGTTTTAGTCCCATTGTTATTTATAACATTTATTTTATAACCATGAACATATGGCTTGTGGAAGTAAAGAAACAGAATGAGCAAACTTGTTTCAGTAGTTAGCAAAGGTAATGTTTTATTTTATTTTCCTGCCAAGACAGATCAACAGATCTTATCACTGCCATCCAGCAAGGTGGTGGTGTCTTGTTTAATGTAGTTGAATCAAGGTACTAAAGCCAAGAGTTTGGTGCTCTGATGTTAAATGCTTCTAATAATGTTTTATGGCTGACATTTTTCGACAATTAGAACACTTTGCAGTTTTTTTAAGAAAGTTTTTAGTCTCATGCATTTGTTGCATTAGAAGAAAAATAATCCTTAAAGCTACAAGTATATACTTTGAAATGAAAGGGATGTTACAGTCTTAGTCCCTTATTATTTTTAAAAAGAATTATGAAAATAAGTAACTGTGATTAGCTGAGAAAATTTTCTAATACTGGCTTGGAATGATGTTAGAGGACATTCTTATGCTGTATAAAGATGTGCTTCATTAGAGGATACACACTTGCAGACATGTCTTTTATTTACATTTACTGAAATTTCTTACGGAAATTGAGAGAATTCTAGAAAAATCTTTATGAAACCAATCACACATCATCAATGTGAAGGAATCCACATAAGACTGAAAATCATTACACACTGACAATTTTCCCTCCTTTCCAAGCCTTACAAGAGCTGGATGTGAGTATGTCCAGACATGTTTTTAATAATCAAGCTACTGCTTTTGTGAAAAGTTGTACATGCATACAATAAATAAGAGTAGATAAATTAATGATAATATGAATTTCCATTTTTCTGTTTTTCTAACTAGTCTTGTATTTCTAAAACTATGAAATAGGACTTTCAGGAGCTCTTGGACTTGATAAGAGATGTTATCAATGGATAACAAGATAATGAATAAAAATTATTTTAAAATAGTTTAATTTTTTTTCATGAACATAGCTTTTAATATTTTCCTCTTTCTTTTCATCAAGAAACAATATAAATTTAAAATTACTCAACCAGCAATATCTTGAGAGTGTTTTTTCCCCCAGCTTCTCACAAAGCACTCTGTAGGTTATGAAAGCATGTGTATTTTTTTCTTGATGGCTTATAACTATAGTTCTGGATCATTTTATGATCGGCAACTTTATGGTGCTAGGACATCTGCCAAAAAAGTAAGCACATCTTTTCTTTACCATACTTACTCTGTAGATATGTTAAGCAGCTTAATTCATAATGTTTATTTAGTATTATGTGGTGTTTAGATGAAAAGTACCAGGAAATTGCTAAGCTGTGATTGCCTTCCGCAGTTTCTGTGTCTGAGAAATCTGTCCTGCTTCAAGCAGTGATAAATGGTAGCTACTTTTTTTCTTCCCTTGAGTATTTTGGTTAAGAAGTCTCTGACTTAACATTTCTTACTTATGATTTCTTCATTTAACTATGAACTCTGTCTTGAGTGAAGTTTTAAAACATTAGAAAACATACAATGACCTCTGTCATAAGCAACCACTCAAAGATAACCATTGAATCAGACACTTCACAGATGTAATTTTCTAGTAAGAGCAGAGATGAATTCTGCTTTGTTTGCCTACTTTGAGATGGCTCTTTAAACTTCTGAGGTTGTTAAGATGTATAGCACTGCACAGCTTTAAAAATATTATACAAGTGATTGACTCTCCTCACTAAGCAGAAATGCATGTACGAACCACGGGTGCTTTAAGTGATAAAATAAACATTCTTGATATAAGCAATGAACTCATAATTCTCATAACAAATAAACTCAATAAGGTCCTGTTGCTGTCATGCTGATAGTGCGATAATCCCTAATAGAATACAACACATTAAATGCTGTTGTGAATGTGTTGTACCCCTGCACCATTCTGTTAGTTGCAACTAACACCAGAGATATTTGTTTGTAGATGGGGTAGGGCTTATCCCATAATTGATGAAGTTTAAGTCTCATTTTGAAAAAATGCCCACACATGTAAAGTGAACTGAAGTAGCTATTAAGAAAATGCCATTATGACTTAAAATGTTTTAAAACCTTTTCCAACAGGTCAGTCAAGTACTCAGTGAGCAGGCCAGTAGCAATGAATGAGTCTAATTTGCTCTCAGATACAATAATGTGAATCTGTATCAGTTGATTTTACTTCAAATAATCTCAATCTGTAAATATGTGGCCATAATTCTAGGCCACTATTATCAATTTACATGTGTTTGTATTATGAATGTGGCTGTTTACAGTACAGAAAAAAAACCACATTTAGTTGGATCTCATATTTGTAGCAGAAAAATGTATCTTGGAAGAGCCAGTTCAGAGCTGTAATCACCCAAGTGTCATCAAAACCATTTTTGCTAGTTCTGAATTTTTCACCTAAAGTTGTGCACTTTATTTTTGTATATGCTAAAGATTATGAAAAAATAAACATACCTCTCCCTTTGCTCTTAATTTACTTGGAAATAAAAAATACTGAACTATTATTTTCTCATTGCTTCTGAATGAATCCTGGATTAAAAAAATGTTTGTTTTGAAAGTGATTTTTCAGTTTTTAAACCAAAAGAATGAACAATTTAAACCAGAATAAGCATGTTTAAATTCAATGAAATACGAAAAAAAATCTTTTACGTTAAAAGATTTTCACTAAAACATGCGTTTTGATGGATCAAACTTTGGACTCCCTGTGTATATCCATACACGGTTAGCAGAGTGAGGCGGAGTATATGTAATACCTTGACATATCAATGCCTATATGTGGGCTCATAGACCTACAGACACTGCATGTAGGTTAGACATTAGCTTAATCATTATGGAAGCTGAATGTTGTGCTGTTCAGAAATGTCGTCATGTCAGTGAACTTTTTCTCAACATTTTAGATTTTGTATGAAATCAGGAGTGTTAGGCAAGCATGCAGCTAACTGCAGGATTCTTTGTAACTTTGATTTACATTCCAGTGACTTTGGACAATGTGTTCAAATTTCATCTTTAGTTTGAACGGCTTTCATTTTTTTGGGGGCCAGATGTTTCATTCATAGAATAAATATTATTCTCAGTATATTGTGTTTGGTCTATGAATCATTTATGTGGAATGTTACTTGCTTGACCTGTTCTGTTTAAAATAGTATTTGTATCTACAAGGAATAAGATAATGTCTTGGTAAGTCAGATGGCTTGTCTATTTTTTAGGGTTGCCTGTTAGTATCCAAAAGACAGAACTTGGTCTGTAGGATGTCACGCTGCCTTAATACAAGACTGATTCTGATACCTCATATGGCGTGTTCCAAACATGTATGTTAGCCATCCCCTTTTAGACAACAGCAATGAACAGTCAAAATAACATTGAACATTGGCTTTTGTATTTTGAGAAATCTGCTTTGATTTTCAGTTGAAGTTTATATTAAATTTAACTCATTTAAGGTAACACTCTAGATACTGTAAATTATTCACTAGTGTTCTCATTTTTAAGGAGAGGGAGGGAAGAAGGCATTGAGCATTGAAAGATAGATCTAGAATGAATTTGTTCATTTGATCTGGAAGTGCTTAACTGGTGGCAAGCTGGATGAATAGTTTCAGCCCTTGACAGGCTAAAGAACCAGAAACAAGGAAAACACAGGGTCATCTATTTTAGATACTTACATGTTTTGCAAAAATCCTTCGTTCTACCTTCTAGCTTCACCTTGGATCTGAGTTCCTCTTCCTCTAGCTGTGACAAATTTCTGCCTCTTGGGAGTGTTATTTTTATAATTAGTAGTTATCTGAATAGAAAAGTTCTAAATTCTGAGGTCTGGTCCTGCTAATTATATTAATAAGATTTTTTTTGCTGAGAAACTAAGTAACAAAAGCAGCTTGTTAAATACATGTATTCTAGATCAGCTGGAAGAAAAAGAAATGTTTATTGGTCTCACAGCTGGGGGAAGAACCAGCATATTCTCCATAAAACTTTAGAGAAAACATACACATAACAGTCTACTTCCAGGTATTGGTACTTTTACAAGCGGACGTGCTAAGCGTTCATGAATTGATCAGTCTTCTGCCAAAATAATCAAAGTAATAAAGGAAAACCACTAGACCTACAGACAAATCACTGGGATATCAAGGAATTTTCTCTTTCCTTTTCAACAGCCCATCAGTGACTCTTTGTTTTAATAATTCAAGTGTGCCTAGAACCCACTGGAACCTAGGGGAAACCTGTGCAAAAAATGTGCAGTAGGTAATACTGATAATTTGATTTAAAGAGATGTTAAAAGGGATCAGAAGGTTTAAATGGTGTGAAGAAGGATGTGTGTCCAATGTGGTATCTTTTCTATAACTACTGTGATCATCTGTGTCATAAATGTCTAACTGAAAGGTACACTGCCTGTTCCCTTTTCTTCAAGCTTTCTAGATAGTACCACTGTCTTTTAAATAGCTTGTCTATGACCTCCACAACCTTTAGAATGTGACCTAACAATGGACACGTGTATAAAAAGTTAGTCTGATTTTTTTTTATATACCACATAATGTAAAAATCTTTTTGAGTACTTCTTAAGGATACACCTAACAAGATATGTTCGTTACATATGCTCATCAGGTAAGGCAAAGCTTATGATAAACCGAAAAGATGTATCTAAAAACATCCAGAAACAGCCACGTTTGTTTTCACTTGCCTCAAAAGAATAATTATGGAATGGGCCCAAATCATCTAGGGAAGCCTTATTTGAAGCTATGGTAAGTCAGTGTGCCTGCCCTGCAGTAAATTCTGTAAGTATAGTCCAGATCAGTAATTTAGGTACTTTCAGTAGTCCACATAAAGATGTGGGCAATTCTTTTTCTTTGAAGATGACTGCCCAAGACAGAGTATGCACAATGCCATGGAGCTACTCTTTTTTTTCCTTTTCTCTCCCAGGAATTATATATTGACAATTTGTTTGGAGGAGATGTCTAAACATGTCAATGCCTAACTGTTATTTCAGATCACGTGAGACGAATTCCAGGCTCTGTCTGGAGACAAAAGAAATGCACTTTTTCAGCAGGGGTTTCACATGGTGTTTATATATCAGATACAATTCCCATCAAAACAGAAAACTTTGCAACATCAGACTTTCCCTTCGAAATCA